GACTTAAGAACTTGCAGCTGACACTTGTTCATTTTTATTGAGGCTGTTTTGAGGATCTTGAAGATATATTTTTTTCTATAGAATTTCATAGCACTAAGTTCTCTTTAAATGCTGTTTGTGGTTTATACTCCTATAGGCTATTATTACTTGCAAACTCAAAAGAGACTAGTATTTTCATCACCAGGAATGGAACTGCTTGCTTCCTGAACATTAAGAAAGGATGCATGTGAGTGTAAGTTTGGGTCTGCCCTGAATTTTGTTCATTGATGTGTCAACATATTCTTTTGATTTTAGTGTTTCATAGGAGAAAGGGTTGCAGGAAGTTAGTGTTTCAGTTACTTGCCATTTAAAAGGGAGTGCATCATGATATGGCAGTGTTTATCTGGTTTTTGTTTATCACTTCATATAGTCTTAATATCATAATTTTCCTACATTATGTCACATGTCAGATCTGGACAATAGTGTCCTGGTGTTTTGGTCTAACTCAGAAAAAGAAATTTCAAGTTTCTCATCCTGCCTTCAGCAGTAACTGTATGAGTGTAAGTTTCATTTCAAGTCAATGAATCACACATTCCTGTGTGCTGCAGCCCTTTTGAAAACAGGGTTTGAGATATTTTGTTTTTTGTTCTTTAAGAAGTGTTATCCCGTATGCTTGAAATGTTGGGGTCTGAGAGGGAAAAGAGTCTGAATCTTCAGGTCTTCTGAAGTTAAATTTGAATTTGTATGGAAACTCTGTGATGTGTGTGTGTGGGAAGGGGCGGTGTGGAATTTAGATTTTTATTAAAGGGAGTGTAAGGGTGCAAGTTGGGGGTTTCAGGGAGGTTTTGTTGGAAAAATTATTTGTTAAATGAAAAAGAAGTACACCAAAAATGGTTGTTATAGTCCATGCCATTTGAAGGGACTGTCTGCAAGGGGGAATCCTGAGGAATACCCTTTTTTTAAAAGGAAATAAAGAGATAAATGAGAGCAGTTACTCTGTTGGTTTGTTTTACCTCCTTCAGAAGTACCCCTTCTCTTGCCTTGTCTGAGACAGCTCTAAATTTAGAAAACATATCAAACCACAACATTGTGAAGGAGCACACACAGGCATGTAAAGATGTCTGTGGAAGCCTCAGTGGTGTTTCAGTGCCTGGGGAGCACTGCACCTGCTTGTGCTGAAAGCTGGAAGACTGCCACTCTTCATCCTTTGTTCAGCTTCCTTTGCTGCATGAAGCATAGAAGACAGCAACTAACCTTATTGTTGACATTAAATAATTACAGAGGAGGTGATTTCACCTTCAAAACTTAGCACCCTTGCGCTCACCAGCCCAAATGCCTGCAACCACCACTGTCGCCAAACCCACTAATTTCATTGCACCCCCTGCCATTTTGCAGTTTCCTTCTCACTCTGAGAAGCACCTCACTGTGAAAAGGAAGGGGTTAATGACAGTGAAGACAAAGGAGAAAGGAGGGTGTTTGCTTTCCCCACTGCTACTGTTTAAAGTTTGATATGGCAGCTTAAATAACCTTCCATGCCACATGCCTATTTCACTGTTCAGACTGAGAATGTTGTGTTTCCCCCACCTGGGATATTTGGCTGTTATTTGTGTTTTTTTTTTTTTTTATTATCATTACTTTTCTAAGCCTTTTCTCTCTATCTTTATTTTATTTTTACTTTTTTTTATTTCCCTTTCAGTCTCTTTTCCCTCTGCCCCCAACAAAATAACCTGATACAACCCCAAATTCCCCTAGTTTATACCTGTAAGAACTCTTCATGTTTTGTCAATTAACCGTTTTGTGAAAATTACATGCAGGTTTGTATTTCCTAGTAGGGTTTGGTTTCTGGACAAAGCTAAAGAAAACTCCTAGGAGTAAGGTGAAGAAACATTCCTTATATAGGTGTGTCTTCCTGAGTGATGAGTGATGAAGTGGTTTGGTCCACATTCCTATTCCCTAGTGTCTCTGATTGTTGGGATTGCTTTACCCTTTCAGAACAAATGGTGTCATAGGAAGACCTCCCCCTTTCTGCACAGGGCTGTAGCATAATTGGATTTTCAGACTTGCCTTCTTTTTGACTTCATTACAGGCTTCTAACAGACTGTTTTGTAACTCAGTTTCCTCCAGCCGCTTTTGTGTGTTGAGCATTGGCGGAAAAAAAATCATATTCTAGCAGAAAACCTGTCTAGCATCCATGGTCAGAGAACAGCTTGCTTGCTCCTTAGAGCTTTGTTTCTCTGTTTGAATATTGTGAACAATGATATCACAGGTATCAAAGCATAACTTTGCTCTTCTCCTGATAAGAAACTTATTAGTGCTGCTTACAAGTCTGGCATGACCCTCTTCTCCTGAGCCCAGCTGAGGAATTTGAAATTAGCCTTGTGGAATTTGAGTTGGTTTATTTATCTTTTTTAATAGCAAAATTTTATGGTTATTTAACCCATCCAGATCCAGATGGGATCAGAATCCATGCAGGATTTCAGAAGAGAAATCCTTTTTCTGAATCTGGGAGATTGATGAAGTTGTTCATATCAGAATTGAAGGGAATTTTAAAAGCAGTTGCATGTAGCTAAGTGTTTCATTCCTTGTGATAAGTGGAAGTAAATTGATTAAGTATTTTAATACTAGTTGTTACCTAATCCACTTCCGTATTTTGTTCTATTGATGTTTCATTGGAACTGAAATTATGAGCACACATTTGGCAAATGCTGTCAATTTTTAGGCATGCACTCAATAAATTTTGGCCTTTATTAGGCCAAAGGTAGATTAACGGTAGTATGTCCTTGTCTATGCAAACCCCACATGTTTAGTTATGCTGTTTTTTAAACAAAATACTTCAGTGGTGATCTTTAGAAGTGTGGCTTAGTCAACAGCTTCATGATGTGCATGCAGTCTTAAGGAGATTCTCTACTCGGTAAGCCATCTCAAATATGCTACTTAGTAGTCTCTTGGATGAGGACAGGAATACACACACACACAGAGAAAAAGGGGTTCTGAAAAAGGACGTATTATAATTCCATTGTGGAGAACTGTAGTGGTTGCTCAAGTGCTGTGTAAGACAACTGCCAGAGATATCTAAGAGCTCTTTTTCCTCAAAACTGCTTTCGTCACTGACTGTAATAGTTCATGAAGAAGGTGAACATCGTAAACAAAGTTCTTCCATTGCTTATGTATCTGTATGGTATATAATAGGCTGCGTGTGTTGCTTCTGAAGGTAAATGTCTAAGCTAAACACACTTACTTACCAGTTGCTTGCAAAGTCAAAATTCTGATGTTCTTTGCTGTTTGTTACTTCATTTAAACTGAATTAATTATTATAATTTCAACTGTTGAAAGTCCTACTCTGTGCCTTCCCTTTGAGAACTACTCATGCGTTGGCAGCTTTTGATGAAACGCCCTCACGGGTGAGTATTAACTGGAATTACTCCAGTAGTGCTATTGCCCATTCCAGGGAGGCTGTTGAAATAATTCCTAGGATTTTGTAACCCTTAGCAGTGTGTTTGGGTTTCACTGACATCTGTCCACATCTTTCTGTCTAACACTGTTGATACATTTTAGGCAAACAGCAGGAATGGTTACAGGTGTATGCAGGGCTTCTTCAGTTTTCCTGTTAAAATCCGCTGTGTAGTGTACCTAATGTGTTGTTTCTTGACTTCGTATCAAAATAACAAGATGGAAAATCTATCCTACTACCTTTGCTTATGTCATTGCATCCTCCCTTCTGAACTACTTAGCAAAGTCTGTAAAAACCAAATGATCTGGTAAATGTACTTTAAAGAGCAAAAAGTTAGTTGGTTGCACATCTAGGGTACTACAGTTCAGGTAAACGGATTATTCCTTCATTCTTACAGGATTATATTGAGAAGTAGTCCTACCACATCAGTGATTATTTGAAAATAAAATGAAGGTTTTTTTTTAGCTGCAGTTGCACTTGTGTTCTAATCTGTAAAATATCAAGTGTTCACATGGAAATTGGTATATATTTGGTTTAATTGGTATTGAACACTATTTAAAGAGGGGGCAAGCACCACAAAAAGTGTTCATGAGCTGTATAAAGTATCTTAAACAAGTTAGTCATCTTGATACTGACATTTGAAATACTGGCTTAAGTTTGCATTTATTCAAAGCAAAGATAGTGTAAGTGATTTCAAAGATAATCTGATACCAAGTGCTTTTATTTTCTGCCCTTTTTTTTTTTCTTTGAGTGGACTGCTTTGAGAGCAGAGAAGGGGTGCTCCTGCAGCTTTTGCCTTGAATGTCTGAAAAGAATGGAAAGGGGTGGTGGGGGTATTCTTACATGTGACTGACAAAAGAAAATATACTAACAAATGAGAATGGGTTTGAACGACATTGGATGTGTTGTATCTAATTTGTTTTGCTGAGGAATGTTGGTAAGGAATAAAATCTTGTGGATCAGAAGTTAAGATAAAATTTTGAGTTTATTGGTGGTGTTAAGTGAAGAAAATGCAGCAGTTACTGTGTGATCTGTTGTAGTCAGAGCAAGGAGGCAGTTGCATCGAGAGCCATTTTTTTTTTAGTATTGAATCCCTGAGTGAAGTCTTTATATCGTGATTTTTTTTTTTTTCAATGTCAAGCCCACATGAAGATGACAGCATAGCTTGAAATAATCTGACAGCCTAAATGACACAAAATAAGGTAGTGCAAATGTGAACTGAATGTTTTTATGAAGTCTTGTAGTCAGCATTCATTTCAAAGCTTTCTTCTCAGCCTATTTGTGGGTAGTATTTCTCTTCACATATAATACCGTATGCTCTGTATCTCTGAAATCTCGGTGAGAAGAGCTTCACATATTTCTTTCTGTATGAAGTACCACTGGGCATTTGAACATAAATCTTCTCAGTTCTGCAGTTTCTTTGTCAGCAAAGCACATCTCGCTTTTATTTCCCTGAATTATTTCAGAACTCTGAAGCTTATTTGCATTGTCTCTAATATGAAGATAGTGAGCTTACTTCAAATACAGTAATGTCTGTCTTCTCTGTTTTCTTCTGTGTATTATTCTGCAGGTTAAAGTGTGTGTGTGAAAAATCAACAAAGCCAAGAACGTCTTTGACTGGATAGATTTTTCAACATGAATCGTGCTTTTAGCAGGAAGAAAGGTAAGAAATTTAGCGTATATTCCATGTGAGATGTAAATATCCTGTATAAATTCTTTAGAATATAAAGAATCATATAAGGAAGTACTTATGAATAATCATACCTAATTAACTAGGTAAAAACAGGCAATCTTCTCTGAGATGTACAGAGCAAAGCATTCTTGATTGATACTTGCAGAGCTTCATGGATTGTAAGGCTTAGGTTGAATTTCATAATATTTTCTTGATTGAGGCATCTGCTTGTGTATGTGTGTATATATATATTGGAATACACACACTTTTTTCTTTTTTAACCCTGCACACTCCAGAGCATGTGCTGTAAGTTTTTAGAAGTTTGAAAAGTTAGTGACTTCTGTATTTATTATATATTTATTAATGGGCTCTTATTCTTGGCAAGCTATTTTAGAAAACTGTATTTAATGTACTTGAAGTATCTCATGCAGCAGAATAATTCTTAGCTTTAAGAAGCTGTTCTGAATTTGTAGCAATCTTCAAATTGTATGCTTTCCAAAAGAATATCAAACCACTAAATATTTAATTATGTATGTTGCTCTTCTGGCTTGCTTTATTCTCTTTTCATGGTCTGTTTATGATTAAATATAAGCTGGGTTTTTTTAGACAGAGCATTTAGCCCAATCAGAAAAAGGTGTTACCAAAAAAGCTGTCAGGTGTGATTATTGCGGATCTTAAAAATGATCCAGAACGTGAGCAACCATGAGTTAAATACTGTCATCTATTAATTTTACTTATGGTATTTACTCATGAAATTTACTTAATGTTATTTTCGTTCTTGTATCCTAGGAAAAATGCAAATTTCTGTTAAGCACTTGTCAAGGATAAGTGAAAATTACGTATTTTTCATGCCAACTGAAGTTGGGAAAAACTTGGCAGTATCAGTGTTCATCCCTAATAATTATATTTAAGAACAGGTTCAAACACATTCATTTGATGAACTTATTTTATTGTATTTCCTGGTTTTACTCCCAGAACTCAGGGATACCGCAGTTTTTGTGCCTGTGGTTGGTGGGTGGTTTATGGGTTTCTGCTGTGCACAAGAGCATGAGGATATTTTGAGGAGTTAACTGAGTACTGTGACTTCGCTAGCAGCTCTCTCTAAATCCAAATTAGTCTCCTGGTGACTGTGCTGGTGGGGTTTGTGGTAATTACAAGTTTGCATTGGTCTGTTGCCTTAGAACTACATAAACAGCAGTCTTAAAAATACAGGATTGTAAGGGGAATTTAAACAAATACAAGTACTTTCATAAAAGCCAAAGGTTATGTGAATTATGCAGATTTCTGGAGTAAGTGTCCCCTAATTTCCGTGGTCACAGTCAGTCTATACTAGACTTTTAATATGATGCATACAGAGAAAACAGTAGTGCCATATCTTCTTGAACTGGGTTAGCTGGTGACTGGAATGATTTGGACTGTGTTGTACTTGAAGAGCTCTGTACTTGAAGAACTCTGTTCTTGCACCATCGCCTGATGCAAGCAACAAAACTTTCCTTCTAAGCATTCAGGAAATTATTTCATCATTTGCAGACATTGGTAGACAAAGCAAGAAGAGAAGCACTAAACTCAAGCTTTCTTGGTTTTTTAACTGTTGATTTAACTGCTGGAGGCTGGATAGCAACCTGTGCTTTCATGACCAAGTTGCAAAGGAAATGTGAGTTGCTAGGAGAGAAAGGAAGTGAGATCTTTTTTAAATTAACCCTGATTCTTTAAAAGAAAAAAAGTTCCTCATAGATATGATGTGACATGATTGTTTATGTGCATTGAGAGCCTGTGTTATGGGAACAGCAGATTTGTCCTAAATCAGAGTAGAGCACAGACCCCATTTTGGATATTACCAATAATTCATTTTGCAGCAGAAATTTGTGCTACAGCTGTCATATCTAGAGCAAGTACTCAATGTAAATTCATTTTGGGGGGCCATGATTTGGGCATGAAACACCCACTTCAACTGAGAAGGTATACTGAGTGCTCTCACCTTAAAAACAGCTAGTAGTCATTGGCTGTCTGACTGCCTGAGATTAAGCACAAACCAGGACTTCTAACCTGGATAGTTAATGTTTATATTATAGATGTCATTATTTTTATTTGTTTGATACACTTCAATCTCAAATTGAATAAATTCAGGCTGTTCATCTTTCATCCTAATAATGACTATGAAAAATACAGGAAAATGAAGTTTAAGCAAAATCGGTTTGTTTCAGGAAGCACTTACATAAGTAATAATAAATGGAATCTTTTACCAGTTAAGAGTTGTGATATCTATTCTCATCAGTTAGCCATAAGCTAATAAAACAAGGAAACAAACTTTATGAACTAATAAATCTATTTAGCATTTGCTAAAGTTGCATGTTTAGATATGAAAAAGCTTAGTACTTGTTTGAAGTAAAATAGCCTTTGTCTTGACTTCAGGTTGGTTGGACTACCAGTTACATGTGTTAAGAAGAAAAATCTCTGTTGCAGAAATATTATATGACTATGCAAACCAATTTGTTTCATTTATCAATGAATGCAGTATGCTCTATTGATACAGCTTTTACAGATTATTTTTTTTTTAAGGATCTCCCACAAAGCCAAATTAAAGAACAACAGTGTTGTTATGTATGTTCTTGCTGATTAGTTATTATGACAAAACTTGTGAAAACATTAATGTATCTATAACAGTATAAGGAACTTGCTTTTTTATGTAAACCATTTTGGGTCATGTTTTCTTAAAGGGTCTTCTTAATTCTATCTTTAAAGTCAGGTGTGGTAGCATGTTCTTTGAAATGTTGTGCAAAAATCTCACAGTCTGTTCATCTTGAAATATGTATGTATCTTGATAAATTCAGTCTCTCTTCTAAGCATTTTAGGGTTATTAATGTAATTCTCCTGTAAAAGATCTTTGTTAATGCTCAATTTTAATGTAAATTTTTCTCATTATTAGTGTATTGACATCTAAACTGATTTAGGTATTTGTCCTTAATTTGTATGCGACTGTGTGTATGGGTAATAATGTATACACAAAACAGAAAGTATTAATCATGGGATCTTTTTGTTTGGTTTGGTTATTTTATTTTAGGGAAGGGAGATGCCTCTCTCAGATGAGTTTGGCATATTTTATTGATTCTGTGGCTTTGCATTCAAAACCATTAGTGTAAGAACTGGTGCATAGAAGTAAACAAAAATTAACTAGTGTTTATTACTAGTATTTATTGGCTTTTCCTTATCAGAAATGGGTAAACCTACTGTTCCTCTTAGGAAGAGACATTTCTAAATACGGAATGACTAATCCAAACCTGCTGGAGTTAAAAGAGTGAAACTACTGAAGTGTCTCAAAATAGAGATAAAGATGTAGATACGTAGGTCTACTTTGGGCTAAATTTAGTACTGAATTACAATGTGTGAAATCCAGTGAACTTCAGTGGGGTTGTGGAGGGAGTAAATCACAGTTGAATTTAGTTCATTCTTTATTACACAGTAATTGTCGTCCTTCACCCCAAAATAAATGCCAGCCTTAGTTTATGTATGGCATTAAGCTGCAGTTGTATCCAGGAATCTGATTTTTTTTGAATGTTTTGGGGGATTTATATGTTATTCCATATAATTTCAGTTTGTAAGGTTGGTAATTGGTGCCACATAATCAGCTCATAAGATGTAGATAGTGTTCATGATGCTAAATGGAATATATTGAAATAATAGCCTGCCATAAATCATTAAATTTCAGCAATAATGTTTCTGTGCAATGGTTTTTCATGAGTCTCATTTATGGAAGATGCATTTAATGGGCAGGGCCTGACAAAAAATCGCAGTCAGATGTTATAGGATGCTCTTTTATGTGTATGGACTGGCTGTAATACAAATTTCATTGTCAAGTTATGCTGCATTCCAGAGATTGCAAATGTTTTAGTTTTTCTTTTTTTTTCAATTAGACTAGACAACAGAAGGGTGAAGATGGTAAGTTTAGTCCTAAAGCAAATGTTTTCATTCTGTCAGGGAGAATATTTCACATTAGTGATTTAAACAAACAGGCTGTTACATGCTGGACTTCCGCATTAACAGTAATGATAAAAAACATGAAGGAGGAGTAGGTACTTACACACCTTAAAGGCATATAAGTAGTCACAATCTTTGTCATTGCATTCTTTAGATATTCTTGTCATGACATACTAACTTTTCATAAAAGAGCTCATCACCTTCCAGGAAAAAAACTAGCTCTAAATATCCTCATCCTCCCCCATCCCCAAAATGCTGCTGCTTGATTGTTTGTAGGATTTCTTTGGTGTTTTTTTTTTCAATAGTAAATGTTGGGAGGAAAGAAGGGTACTTTTTTGTATACCAAATATTATATTCAGTTGGTCTCACTTCACACACAAAAAAATAATTAGATTAATATTTTTATAATACAAAGAGGTTTTATGTGTTCCAAATACTGCTCCTTGGGCTTCAGAAGAGGAGTTTGTGTAAAAAGCCAATATTCAGTGACCAAGTGCCTCTTTTGGACTGTGCATTTGTCTCTTTGCATGTACTTATATGCAGCTGTGTATGTGTTTATATTCTGAAAGCAGAAGGAACAGATCTTATTGTTTAGGAAAGAGATGATTATAGCATGTATTTAGAGGATGCATAGTTACAAATGAGGAGTAAGTTTTGGAAACTTTCTCTGTAAGATTCATATTGAGTCTGCACAGATAATTTAGGCTAATACCAAATAATAAAGCCTAATTTTTCTTTCCTTTCTGTTAACACAAGAATGGGAGAGTAATATCCTGTTGGCTGTTTTATCTGCATTATTTTTGGAAGGATATTGCAGAAATAATCTTATCCGTCACCTGCTTTAAAGAATATTCTAGGCAAGTTAACAATCATATTTACCACAATAACTATTTGTTGCTTCTGCAAAACCTAAGGAGCTCCTTTCAAGAGCATATATGCACTGCTTAACCATAAAGCACTGAGAACTGACTTTAGAATGGGAACAGCATTGTAGGAGCCTTAAACCTTTTAGTTTC